AGGGTGGGGTTGGGAGAAGGGAGCGGAGGGAGTTGCTCATCGGATGCAAAAGCGACATTTATAGCATGAGCCTCACCGTCTTCGTCTTCTTCATTGTCGCTGTCGGTGGGGTTGTTCATGACTGGGGTCGCAATGGCACGTGTGTCCTCGCCCCTTCCGGTTCTTGTCGTGCGAGCGCGCTTCACGGACTTCGTTTTCGCCTTTTCGCTTTTAGCAGAAACCGAAGTTGCGTTTGGTGTAGCGATTTCTTCAGTAACAGCAGGGGTCTGCTGCTGTAACAGGGTCAGCAGCTGCTGCAGTTGGGCTGCAGTGAATGATGGCGCCACTTGCGCGCCTGTCGCCACTTGCGCGTGAGGCCCCACAGGCGCGTCAGGGCCCACAGGCGCGTCAGGGCCCACAGGCCTGCGTCGCTGGCGCGGACGCGGGGTGCCAGCCGCGCTGGTTGGTGCCGATTTGGCGCCTTCTGTCGTGGCCGGCGCGTCAGGGGCCACAGGGGCTCGAGGCACACCAGGAGCGTGTGCCTCGACACCAGCAGCGTGTGCCTCGGTCGCGCCTAGCAGGACGTCGACGCCAGTCGGGGAAATTTCCCCGTCTTCTGCCCGGCGCTTGTTTGGGCGATCGCCCGCGATTTCGCGTGCGTTTCTTGCGGACTCGGGTCGAGTGGGGGCCGTAGCGGTATTAGACTCCCCGCCGTTAAGTGCCATAGTTGTTGCGTTGTGCGCGAAAATGTCAGAGAGTAAAGTCGACGGGGATTGAAAGCGAGGAAGAGACTTGGTCCTCGCCAGCTTGAGTGTGGGAGACGAAAATCGGCTAAACCGTTTGAAAATGAGAGACGTGGGTGGAGGGAAATGACCTCCAGCCCACGTTTTGTACTCCAAAACGGGCGTTTAAAAAGGTTCGTCGCTGCCCATTCCTACATTACAGACTGCTTCGCTTTCAAAATACGAAATTTTGAAAAGCGTTACACTTCAAAAAAATATTCATTTCTTGCTTCTTGGTTCTTGCTACTTGGTTCTCCCTCCAAATCCGCCCATTCCCGCCCAATCCTGCAGTCGCGCCTTACCTACCGTCTAGCTGTCCCTTACTCCTTTCCGTCCCTCCCTCTCACCCCGCCGTCGCGCTCTCTCCCACCCCGCCATCGCGTCGCTCTCCCTCCTAGCCGCCGTCGCCGCTCCCTCCCATCCCGCCATCGCCCCTCCCTCCTTTCCAGCCGCCGTCGCTGCTCCCTCCCATCCCGCCGCCGCCTCTCCCTCCTCCCGCCGCCGCCTCTCCCTCCTCCCGCCGCCGCCTCTCCCTCCTCCCGCCGTCGCCCCTCCCTCCTCCCCGCCGTCGCCTCTCCCTCCTCCCCGCCATCGCCTCTCCCTCCTCTCCGCCGTCGCCTCTCCCTCCTCTCCGCCGTCCCCTCTCCCTCCTCTCCGCCGTCGCCTCTCCCTCCTCTCCGCCGTCGCCTCTCCCTCCTCCCCGCCGTCGCCTCTCCTTCTCTCCCTGCCGTCGCCTCTCCTTCCCGTCGCCTCTCCTTCCCTCCCTGCCGTCGCCTCTCCTTCCCTCCCCGCCGTCGCCTCTCCTTCCCTCCCCGCCGTCGCCTCTCCTTCCCTCCCCGCCGTCGCCTCTCCTTCCCTCCCCGCCGTCGCCTCTCCTTCCCTCCCCGCCATCGCCTCCAGCGACGGGTGCACGAGCGCAAGCGCGGGTTGGTGCGCGGAGCGCGGGTAGGTGCACCAGCGCGGGTTGTTTTCTGAGGCACCGTGGTTATCAGGTGCGTTCCCGGTCCTTTCATCCTCCTTCCCCCTCTGAATTTCCCTTTGTTTTTTGCCCTGTGTCAGTTGGTCTCCTCTTGCATTGCACTTTCATCTGACGAAGGGGAGAGACCAAGCGCGAGAGAGAGCGTGTGCACGGGAGCGAACGCGCAGGAGAGAGCGAAGGAGAGAGCGCAGGAGAGAGCGCGCGAGAGAGCGTGCGAGAGAACGCGTGAGAGGGGGCGTGAGAGAGCGCGTGAGAGAGCGCGTGAGAGAGCGCGTGAGGGAGCGCGTGAGGGTGCGCATTAGAGAGCGTGTGAGAGAGCGCAGGAGAGGGCGTGAGGGAGCGCGCGAGAGAACGCGTGAGAGAGAGCATGAGAGAGCGCGTTGGGGTGCGCATGAGAGAGCGCATGAGAGCGCGTGAGGGTGCGCATTAGAGAGCGTGCGAGAGAGCGCGTGAGAGAGAGCGTGAGAGAGCGCGTGAGGTTGCGTATGAGAGAGCATGTGAGAGAGCGCGTGTGAGAGCGTGAGAGAGCGCGTGAGAGAGTGCGTGAGGGTGCGCGTGAGGGTGCCCGTGAGAGAGCGCGTGAGAGAGAGCATGAGAGAGCGCGTGAGAGAGCGCGTGAGGTTGCGTATGAGAGAGCATGTGAGAGAGCGCGTGTGAGAGCGTGAGTGAGCTCGTGAGAGAGCGCGTGAGGGTGTGCGTGAGGTGCGCGTGAGTGAGTGTGTGAGAGAAGCGCGTGAGAGAGCGCATGAGAGAGCGCGTGTTAGAGCGTGAGAGTGCTCGTGAGAGTGTGCGTGAGAGACGCGCGTGAGAGAGCGCGTGAGTGAGTGCGTGAGAGAGAGAGAATGCGCGTGATTGTGCACGAGAGAGAATGCGCGTGAGAGTGCACGAGAGAGAATGCGCGTGAGGGTGTGCCTGAGAGTGCGTGTGAGAGAGCGCGTGAGAGAGCGCATAAGGGTGCGCGTGAGGGTGCGCGTGAGAGAGCGCGTGAGAGAGCGCGTGAGGGAGAGCGTGAGAGTGCGCGTGAGAGTGTGCATGAGAGAGCGCGTGCGAGAGCGCGTGAGTGAGCGAGTGGAAAAGCACGTGAGAGAGAGAATGCGCGTGAGAGTGCGCGAGAGAGAGCGCGTGAGAGTGTGCCTGAGAGTGCATGTGAGAGAGCGCGTGAGAGAGCGCGTGAGAGAGCGCGTGAGAGAGCGCGTGAGAGCGCGTGAAAGAGCGCGTAAGAGAGCGCGTGAGAGAGTGCGTGAGAGAGCGCATGAAAGAGCGCGTGAGAGAGCTCGTGAAAGAGCGAATGAGCATGCTGGGGCATAGGCACTAGCATCTATTCTGCTGGTGCTTGGGCAACTGGGGCTACTTATACAAATGAGTGTCGATTATTGCACTAGCGCTTAGAGTGCCGGCTAAGGTGTCGACGCCTCAGACGCTCGTCTAGGCCGCTGGCAACTAGCGAGCTAGTGCCAAGCACGCTCGCTCAGCACGCTCTAACGCTTGGGCGCTGGCATGGCACCTAATGTGCCGCGCTTGAAACGCTAGCGTTATGGCCTTTGGCCTTTGGCTTTCTTGTACAGTGTGTGATCACAAACTGTTTTTTTGGGCAAGGTGTGCTGTTGCTTTCTCTGTTTTGGCTTTCTTGTGCAGGGCGTGTAGATGTTTACTTCTCTGTTTTTGCTTTGTGCAGGGCGTGTTTGTGTTGACTTCTCTGTTTTTGCTTTGTGCAGGGCGTGTGTGTGTTGACTTCTCTGTTTTTGCTTTGTGCAGGGCGTATGTGTGTTGACTTCTCTGTTTTTCTTTGTGCAGGGCACATGAGCTGAGAAGGGAGATGAGGGAGGGAGTGGGATGGAGATGAGGGAAGGAGGGAGGGAGGGTTGTAAGGAGGGTAAGGTAAGGTGGGATAGGCTAGCAGTTATTTATGCATTTCTGAATTTTATTCATGACGGTTGCGTGTTTATTGCGGTCTCTGTATCTATCTGTGGTTGTTTGCATGTGTGTCAGTGTGTGCGTGTGCTTATGCGTGTGTGTACGTGCGCGTGTGAGCTTGTGTGTGCGATGTGTGGGTTTGTCTGTTTGCACCTGTCTGTCTCGTGTGTGCAACTGACGTGTGATGCTAAAGTGTGTCGGGTCTACATTTGAGGTGGGGATCGTTGTTGGGGCAGCGTTGCTCGCCTTAGCATACCGGAACCATCTCTGTTGTAGCACCGATGCATCTTAGCATTCACTCGCTATTGTTATGTGTTGTTTTTGCACGTGTTATGCAACTGAGGTGTGATGTTTAAGTGTGCCGGTTCTGCATTTGAGGTGGGGATCGTTGTTGGGGCAGCGTTGCTTTGCTTGCCTTAGCATACCGGAACCATCTCTGTTGTAGCACCGATGCATTTTAGCATTCACTCGCAGTTGTAATGTGCAACTTTTGCTCGTGTTGAATGGATGCACATGATTTGCATTCATGACCAGTGGGTGTTTTTCTCGTCCATTGTGTTTGATGACGACGACCAATTGTTCCATTCGCCGTATTTATCGACGATTATGGAATGATAGGTCACATTTGGTTACACTTTTTTGGAAACTCATGTGTATCAGTGCTGTCATCTCCACACATTTGGAACACTCGTTATCAAAACGTTCAAACGAGTGGTTCGGACGTTGTGAAAATGACAAAAACTGCACTGTTCATTTGAGTAGACCAAAAAGTGCTACCAAATGTATAGGGTTGCTACGCAACCCAAAAAACAGTAAATGTGCTGTTTTGTTATCGGGGCGTTTTTACCGCATATCCCATACCAAAACATGGACATTGGGGGCCTCGAAGCGCGGATGAGATCCATGGCGGCCTTGAGAAACGGCATTGTCCAGTTTGACACGATTTTTTGGGCTGCCCAGCAAAAAGTCAACGATTATGCAGTACCCCTGCACATTCCGATGACGTCGCCCTAACCTAGTACCATAAAATCTTCAGACCTTCCAACTCCACTCCGCCCTTTCCTCACGCGGCCCATGGCTGTCCAGGTGGCATTCGTTCGCAGCAAGGATTGCCAGTGGGCTGAGTTGTGTATGCACTGCACAGCCGCCGCTATGGATGTTTTCTTCGCGAGAGGCTGTGAAACGATGAAACCTTTTATCTGCTCCACCTGCATGATCATACGTCGTCTGACATTGCACGTTCCGACATGTGAAGCACACTTCCGCTTGCCGTGCGTAGTCATCCATGATAACCATCGCGCTGCTCCGTGGTCCTCGGTAGCTAGTGGTAGTAGGGTGCAGGCGCAATGAAATATACTGCCTCTGCGTGGGGTGCGATGAGAGTTTCTCGAGAGTTGATGGCGGTGGCGGTGTGGATGGGGCTTGCGAGCGTGCTGGCGGGGCTGGTGGCGTGGAGGGTGCAGAAGGGGTTCGACGACAACCGCAAGGCGGCGCTCGACACCTGGTGCGCCGGTCGCGCGCGCTCGCTGCAGCAGCAGTTCATGCAGACCGCCGACCACGTGCAGGTACACACGTGCAGGTACGGCCGACCACGTGAGGTAGTATACGCCCGACCACGTGCAGGTACACTTGGTCTTCTTCCCCTCAGCCGTCTTCCCCCACCCATCTCCCCTCTCCCATCTTCTCCCCACCTATCTCCACAACCTGTCTTCCCCCCTCCTTTATTTGTTTGTTTGTTTGTTATTTTTTTCACCCCCAGGACATCTTCTCCCGGCTTAAATTCCCCCACACTTTTCCTCCCACCCATTTTCCCCCAACCCTCGCACCCATCTTCACCCATCTCTTCCGCCATCCGTCGTCCATCGATCCACTGCCTCCCAACCCCATGATCCTCCCATCCCCATGATCCATGCACATGCATGCACCTCTGCTGCCGCGTGCACGCGTCAGGCACTGGCAGGGCTCTTGACAGTGTTTGGCGGGGTGCGGGAGAACCCGTGGGGCGTGGCGGAGTGCATGAGTCAGGAGCGGTACGTGCAGTTTGCACACAAGACTGTGGCCGCGCGGCCGTGGCTGTATGGTGTCATCTACCTCGTCCTCCTCAACCACACAGACAGGTTAGCGCTGCCCTGCCCTGCCCTGCTCGCTCCCCCATTTTCCAGCCTTGATCCTTTCCGATTCTTGCATCTCTCGCTATCCCCCTCTCTTGCACACACTCACCTCTCTTTTTACTGGGCTTGAACCCTACCCGAAGCCAAGTATGCATGCCATCTGTACGTGATGCCGCCCTCGTGTGTGTGCCGCCCTTGTGCGCGGTGCGGTGCGGTGCGGTGCTGCAGGGCGGCGTACGAGCGGCAGATGCGGTGCAGAGTGGTGGATGTGATGGAGCAAGCGCGCCCCCCAGAGGACTGGTACATGCCCATGCGCTACTGGGTCAACGACGCCCCCACGGTGCTCGCCACCACGCCCTGCAAGGACGCGCGCGCCCACCCGTCGTTCGGCCCACAGCTGCGCGAGATGGTGGAGAGGGCGGACTGGTGGCTCACCACGCCCTTCGTGCTCGATAATGGCAACACTGGCATCGGTGGGTGCTGGGCCTGCCTGGAACACACGTGGATGGGTGGAGCAATGGTAACAGCAGCATGCGTGCGTGGGGCAATGGGGGCAGCCCAATATTGGGAGTGGGAGGGCTGTGAATGGCCGTATTGGAGGCAGGAAAAGGTCAATGGAGCCGCATCGCTCATGTTCAAGGCAAATGCAGCAAGGTCTATCAGGCATGTCAGGGGTAGAGATAGATATCCGTGCATGGCTGGGCGTGTTCACCTTGTTCCACGCCATTGCCCTCACGTGTCCCACACGGCCTCCCTCCCTCCCTCCCTCCCTCCCTCCCTCCCTCCCCCCCCTTTTCTCCCTCCCTCCCTCCGTCCCTCTCTCGCTCATCCCTCCCTCCCTCCCTCCCTCCCTCCCTCCCTCCCTCCCTCCCTCCCTCCCTCCCTCCCTCCCTCCCTCCCTCCCTCCCTCCCTCCCTCCCTCCCTCCCTCCCTCACTCCTCCCTCCCTCCCTCCCTCCCTCCCTCGCTCCTCCCTCCCCCCTCCCTTCCTCCCTCCCTCCCTCCCCCTCTCCCTCCCTCCCTCCCTCCCTCCCTCCCTCCCTCCGCGCGTGCACCACGCATGCAGGCATGGGGTTCCCGCTGTTCCGAGGGGGCGTGTCGACGGCGTCGCCACAGGCGGAGCGGCAGCGCGCCATGGTGGGAGCCATGGGGGCGGCGCTGGACCTCAAGCGCCTCGCCAGCGCCATCATCCTCGACGTGCTGCAGGGTGCGTCTCGTCTCGTCTCGTCTCGTCTGCATGCTGGGCTGGCTGGCACAAGCATTTCTGCCAAGTTCTTTTCCATGGGATGGAATTAACTTGCTGCTTTAGCTGGCCATGCTCCCATGCTCCCATGCTGTGACCACCAGTGGTGGACGTCTGTTGTGTGATATGTATGGATAGATGCACGGATTTTTTTAATCTGTAGATTCAACCAAAGCACGTACCTGAGACTGCCCCTGCTGTTGTTGCTTGTCATATTTGCAACAAATCCCTATCTTGCTCGTTGCCAATGGAAGGGCTTTAAGCTTTCTCTGTCTCATGCATTCTGACCTCCCCTTCCCACGCCCCACACCTCCCCTAGACGTGAACTACACACTTGAAATCTATGATGCCACTAACACCTGGTGTGTTTTGAGTGACTCAAAACACACTCTGACCTCCCCTTCCCACGCCCCACACCACACCTCCCCCAGACGTGAACTACACTCTTGAGATCTACGATGTCACCGACACCTTGTCATCGCCCGCGTCAGGCCCGCGCCTGCTGTACGGGGTGGGGGAGTTGCCGCAAGGCGACCCCAAGCAGGTGTCCAAGGTCATTCCGCCCTCCACTGAGGCAATGCTGCAGCCACACCGACACAAGGCCGTGCACCCAATCAACCTCACCGACCCCTCTCGCACCTTCCAAGCCTGGTGCCAGTAATCCTCTCCGTTCCCCTCGCCTCGCATACCCCTTATCCTGTCGTCCCCTCCTCTTGTCGCCTCCTTCTGTTTTTCTATCCTCTTATTCCCTCCTCTTGTGCCCCCCCCCTCGTCCTCTCCCCACGTTAGTATGTAATGGTTCACTAGTTGTGTTCCTCAAGGTGACCTTTGAGTCGACTCAAAAGTCACATTAGTATGTACTGGTTCACTTCACTAGTTGTGTGCCTCTCTGCGCTTCTGGCTCCTGTGTGCCAATTTCTCAACTGACAATGTTGGCTGTCCATTTCCCTCACAGGGATGCCAGCAAATGTGACAATCCTTGATAGTATGTAGCTACGTGATAGTATGTAGCTACGTGATAGTGTGTAGCTACGTGATAGTATGTAGCTACGTGATAGTATGTAGCTACGTGATAGTATGTAGCTTCTTGATAGAATGTAGCTACGTGATTGCAACTACAAACCTTCTAATTTCCCCACTCTCCTCCTTCTCTCACCCTCTCATTCGCTTGTGTATCTCGTCTCTTCTTGCCCCAACCCCCCCTGAGCTGCCCTCCGCCTGCCCATGGCGTTTCTCTCCATCTCGCCCTCGTCCCGGCGCGCAGCTTTGCAGGGGCGGACGAAGCACACAGCTGGGTGGCAATCGTGCTGGGCACAGTCATAGTGGTGGTGGCGGCGCTGCTGGCAGGCATTGCAGTGACCGTGATGCACAACACGCGGAGGGCGAGGAGGAAGACGGCGGTGGTGGGGGGCCTGAAGGAGAGCACGCAGTGCAAGGAGCACAACAAGAGCGCCTTCATCGCCAGCACCTCGCACGAGCTGCGCACACCGATCATCGGGCTGAAAGGTGTGCTGAAACGGTAGTAGTGCTGCCTATGGATAGCAGGTAGACATCGAGTGTTGAGGCGCCTCAACACCTCGCACGAGCTGCGCATGCACGCCCATCATGGGGATGAAGGGCATGTATGCTCAAGCGGTGGTGGTGTTGCATGTGGATAGCAGGCGCACATCATGGTCAAGTCAACGGCTCCCGATGCGCTGTCCGGGGGGGCTGGGTAAGGCTGCGCAAGGCTGGGTAATAACCCCTTCGCCAACAACTTCCCCAATCTTCTCCATTATGCCGCCCCCTATCCACGGGGAAGTTGGTGGCGAAGAGACCAACACTTGGACGGGTCGAACCCGAACCCCCTCTTGCAACCGCTTTTGAGTCGACTCAAAAGCAGACGGGTCGAACCCGAACCCCCTCTTGCAACCGCCCGCCCGCCCGCGTTTCGGGGCAAATTGTGGGCGGCCCCAAACGTATAGTATAGGGTCAGGCCAGGCCAAGGGTTTTAAAAATGGTTCGACCCCAGGCCGGGGTTGGAACCAAGTCTCTGGCCGGCCCGACCTGGTTGGACTTTGTGTCGAGTCGAGGTAAGTCGAGGCGATGTCGCCCGCAGCCCTACTCGGCACTCGAATTTCAGAGTTCAGGCGACCATGGCTCGAGTCTGAGTTGCGTGGAAAGAGAAATGGAGGAAATTCAGAAATCGCGCATTCCCTACTGAAAAAAGCACGCTGGAGATGGCATTGGGGGGGGGGGGAGGAGGGGGATGGACGGATATGCGTATGGCGTGGTGTGGGCAGGCGTTATGAGTTCTCACTATTCATATGAGCTGCACCACCAGGCAACGCCCGCAATGCCAGCGAGTGAGAACTGTGAAACGCGTCTTGACTCTGCTGGCTGGCTGGTCGAAAATGACACATTTTGGAGTCAATGCGTGGTGTGGGGAAACCAACACCAAAGTGTAGGTAATCAAGCGTCCTTTTTGTTTTGCGAGCCACGTGCACATCTAGCCAAGTGGAGCTGCCATCAATCCATGTTTGAGGCGTTTCCACTGGCACCTGTGACGGCAAGCCCTGCCCTGCCACTAAGAAGAAAAACATCAAGCAACGTGCGTGGATGCTTCTGCTTGCTGTTTCCTGCTCCGTGCTTGGCGCTTGCTTCTTGGTGCTTGCTTGGTGCCTGCTGTGCGGTGCAGGCATGGTGGAGCAGCTGGTGGAGGGACAGATGGAGGCGGAGATGAGGGAGGACATGCGGACGGCAGTGGAGGAGGCAGAGAGGGTGCTGCTGCTGGTGAACACGGTGCTAGACATATCCAAGGTGGAGGCGGGGCGCATGCAGCTGGAGCGACTGCCGTTTGACACCCGGCACTGGCTGCTGGGCGCTCTGCAGAAGCACGGCGCCAGAGCTGCTCAAGCCGGGCTGCACTGTGAGTGTGAGGAGGCGGCCCACGGGGTCAGGTGCGGTGCGTGCCCGTGGAATGGGTGCATGCATTCAGCCATAGAAGCTTGTTAGGCGAGCTGCAGTCTAGAAGAAATCTTTAGCAAATGATCGACAGTTTTGAGACGTCTCAAAACGCGGTGCGTGCCCGTGGAATGGGTGCATGCATTCATGCACGCCACGTGCACCAACGCATGCATAGCAACGCACACACCTGACCTCCATGTCCTGCTATCCCCACTTACTACCTCCCATCCCACCCACGTGCCCACCTCGTGTTCTGTGCCTGTATCTGCTGCTGTGCATCACGTGCAGTCACATGGCATGTGGATTCGAGCGTGCCGGGTGTGCTGGAGCGGGACTACATGCGCCTGCAGCAAGTGATGGACAGCATCGTTGGTGAGCCGCCCCGCCCCGCCACGGCTGAGGCTTGCTGCTTATTGCCTGAGTTGCGTGGTGATAGTTTCAGAAACCAGCTAGGCGGGGTGAGGATGCAGCAAGGGGTGGACAGGGCAGCAGCGTTGGTTGGTCAGCGCCGCGCGCTGTCGCCTATTACTTGAATGACGTGCATGCTGCAGACAGGGACAAAAGGATTTCGCACCTTTCATGCCTTTCATGTGCCCAGCCACCGTCTCGCCCCCAGTTCTGTTCTGTCCTCTCGTCCCTCTGCCTGCTGCTGCTCCCCCAGACAACGCCATCAAGTTCACGGCCAGGGGGGGCGTGTGTGTGCGGCTGCAGTGCCTTCCCCCCAACACCCACATCCCCACCCACCTGCTCTCCCTCGGCTGTCTCCTCGCTGAAGCCACTCCCGGCCACTCCTCGCCTGCCACTGCTGCTCCCGTTGCTGCTGATGCTGCTACAGCTGCTGCTGCTACTGCCATTGCTAACACTGCCGCAACCACCACTCCTGTGGTTGCGCCGTGTAAAAGTGCAGAGGGGGCGTTTGTGGTGCCTTGCTTTGGGCTGCACAAGTGGCAGGGGCGGCTTGCGTGGGCAGCAGCAGTGAGGCAATGCTGTGAGCGCACGGAGGAGTGGGTGGGGCAGCAAGAGGGTGCAGTGGCGCAGCGGTGGTGCTGGCATGGCAATCCGGGGGGAGAGAGGCATGGCAGGGAGGGCAGGGACGGCGCAGGTGCGGATGCCATGGCTGCTGCTGAGGCTGGGTGCGGGGCAGGCAGGGCGGCAGTGGTGCGCGTTGGGGAGGGCGGTGGTGTGGAGGGCAGTGGGGTGGGCGCATGGGTGGGTGCTGTGAGGCGGTGGTGCGGCCGTTGTGCCGTGTGGAGCTGCAAGGGGGCTGAGCCTGAGAGGCATCAAGGGCGGTGTGTGGTGCTGCTGACGTGTGAGGACACGGGGTGTGGCATTGCACAGGAGGAGCAGCGCGACGTGTTTCACGCATTCATGCAGGTGAGCCCTGCCCCTCGTGCAGGTGAGCCCTGCCCCTCGTGCAGGTGAGCTCGGAGTATGAGTGGTGGGGCACTAAGACTTGTGACGTTAATCTGTGTGTATGTCAGCCAGCAGGCGTGTCTACATGTCTGTATGCGTCACTTGGCGCTGCGCTGGTAACGTGACTCATGTCTCTTGTTTTTAGTGTGGTGTGGTGTGGACTACTTCAACTCAACCATGCTGCCAAAGGTTGGCTCTTTTCCAGCGACATCTCAGAGCCCACCCCACAGAGCTGCCCGTGTGCCCACCTCACTGGATCTCACTGAACCTCACAGAGCTGCCCATGTGCCATTCCATCCCAACGCACCCACCACCAGGCGCATCACAAAAGGCATTTGCACGGGGGTAGTGGCTTGAGCCTTCACATATCGAAACAACTGGTGCGTGCCTTGGCTTGGGTTACATGCTGTTGGCGTCTCCAAAGGACGAGGGAAGCAATCACTGGAAATGTGTGATAGTGAAGCACAGTACAAGTGGAAGGCATTTGAGGAGATGCAAGAGCGTGGTTATCCCGAGCTCCTTGCGTGGATTCATTTGCCAAGTGTGGATTCATTTGCCAAGTGTGGATTCATTTGCCAAGTGTGGATTCATTTGCAAGTGTGGATTCATTCGCCAAGTGTGGATTCTTTGTTAAGTGTGGATTCATTCGCCAAGTGTGGATTCTTTGTTAAATGGTTAGCAGATTGTACCTCCCATTTCTCAACCTCCCATCTCTCAACCTCCCATTTCTCAACCTCCCATTTCTCAACCTCCCCTTTCTCAACCTCCCATCTCTCAACCTCCCATTTCTCAACCTCCCATTTCTCAACCTCCCATTTCTCAACCTCCCATTTCTCAACCTCCCATTTCTCAACCTCCCATTTCTCAACCTCCCATCTCTCAACCTCCCATTTCTCAACCTCCCATTTCTCAACCTCCCATTTCTCAACCTCCCATCTCTCAACCTCCCATTTCTCAACCTCCCATTTCTCAACCTCCCATTTCTCAACCTCCCATCTCTCAACCTCCCATTTCTCAACCTCCCATTTCTCAACCTCCCATCTCTCAACCTCCCATTTCTCAACCTCCCATTTCTCAACCTCCCATTTCTCAACCTCCATCTCTCAACCTCCCATTTCTCAACCTCCCATTTCTCAACCTCCCATTTCTCAACCTCCCATTTCTCAACCTCCCATTTCTCAACCTCCCATTTCTCAACCTCCCATTTCTCAACCTCCCATTTCTCAACCTCCCATTTCTCAACCTCCCATTTCTCAACCTCCCATCTCTCAACCTCCCATTTCTCAACCTCCCATTTCTCAACCTCCCATTTCTCAACCTCCCATCTCTCAACCTCCCATTTCTCAACCTCCCATTTCTCAACCTCCCATTTCTCAACCTCTCATCTCTCAACCTCCCATTTCTCAACCTCCCATTTCTCAACCTCCCATCTCTCAACCTCCCATTTCTCAACCTCCCATTTCTCAACCTCCCATTTCTCAACCTCCCATCTCTCAACCTCCCATTTCTCAACCTCCCATTTCTCAACCTCCCATTTCTCAACCTCCCGTTTCTCAACCTCCCATCTCTCAACCTCCCATTTCTCAACCTCTCATTTCTCAACCTCCCATTTCTCAACCTCCCATCTCTCAACCTCCCATTTCTCAACCTCCCATTTCTCAACCTCCCATTGCTCAACCTCCCATTTCTCAACCTCCCACCTCTCAACCTCCCATTTCTCAACCTCCCATTTCTCAACCTCCCATTGCTCAACCTCCCATTTCTCAACCTCCCATTTCTCAACCGCCTGCCTGTCAACCGCCTGTCTCCCATGCCACGGCGTGCAGGTGTCACTGATGGGCGGCAGTATGGGGCTGCTCAGCACACAGGGCCGTGGCACCACGCTGCATGTTGCTCTGCCCCTCACTGCTGCACCTGCACTTGCACCTGCACCTGCACATGCACCTTCCAGCGCTGCTGCCGCTGCTGCTGCTCCTGCCCGTGCTGCCAGCCTGAGCGCAGGAGCTCTTACTGGTACCACTGCTGGTCCCGTCATAACCAGCAGCACCAGGAGGGTGGTGGACGGGCGCGGGCAGGTGGCAGTAGAGGGGAGCAGTGAAGGGGCGGAGCATACAGAGAGTGGGAGGGAGGTGCGGCGCGCAGGTGGGGAGGGTGGTGAACTCACAAGGCACACACAGGCGATAGCAGCGCAGGGAAGGGGGGAGGTGCAGGGGGGTGAGGTGGGAGCGACGTGGGTGAGCGGCACGACGCAGAGTGCCAAGGAGGCACTTAAGGAGCTGCTACAGGGCATGGCAATCCTGGTGAGATGCTACAGGGCATGGCAATCCCGGTGAGATGCTACAGGGCATGGCAATCCTGGTGAGATGCTACAGGGCATGGCAATCCTGGTGAGATGCTACAGGGCATGGCAATCCTGGTGAGATGCTACAGGGCATGGCAATCCTGGTGAGATGCTACAGGGCATGGCAATCCTGGTGAGATGCTACAGGGCATGGCAATCCTGGTGAGATGCTACAGGGCATGGCAATCGTGGTGAGATGCTACAGGGCATGGCAATTCTGGTGAGATGCTACAGGGCATGGCAATCCTGGTGAGATGCTACAGGGCATGGCAATCCCCTCGTCCCCTCTCTCTCCTACCCCTCTCCTCCCGTGCCTGTGTGCACCATCTCCAGGTGGTGGACGACAACACTATCTCTTCTCTCTCGACCTCTCTCCACTACCCCCTCTCCACTACCCCCTCCGTCAACGCCAACGCCATCTCTGTCCCTCCGTGCTCATCCTTTCTCTTTCCCCCCTCCCTGTACCCCTGTGCTCCACCAGGTGCTGGACGACAATCAACCGTCCTGCCTGCCTGCATGCCCCTCGCCCTGCGACCCCCTGTAACCCCGCCCTGTACTCCCTCATGCTGCCCAGGTGGTGGACGACAACGCCATCAGCTGTCCTGCCTGCCTGCCTGTCTGCCTGCATCTCCATCCCACCGTTCTTATCCCCTCTGCACCACCCGGGCATGTCTCTCTCTCTCTGCCTCGCAGGTGGTGGACGACAGCGTGATCAACCGGCGGGTGGCAGCGAGCGCGCTGGCGAGGTACGGGGCAGAAGTGGCGCCTTGTAACCCCTTGTACCTCCCAACCCCCCTGTACCCTCTCCACCCACCAGGTGGTGGACGACAATCTAATCAACCGGCGGGTGGCTGCGAGCACACTCACACGGTACGGCGCGGAGGTGGCGCTGGCGGAGTCGGGCGAGGCGGCGCTGCGCCTGCTGCAGGCGCGCCACTCCTTCTGCCTCGTGCTCATGGACCTCCACATGCCGGGCCTGGACGGGTGCGTGCTCGTGTGCTCATGGACCTCCACATGCCGGGCCTGGACGGGTGCGTGCTCGTGTGCTCATGGACCTCCACATGCCGGGCCTGGACGGGTGCGTGCTCGTGTGCTCATGGACCTCCACATGCCGGGCCTGGACGGGTGTGTGCTCGTGTGCTCGTGGACCTCCACATGCCGGGCCTGGACGGGTGCGTGCTCGTGTGCTCATGGACCTCCACATGCCGGGCCTGGACGGGTGCGTGCTCGTGTGGTCATGGACCTCCACATGCCGGGCCTGGACGGGTGCGTGCTCGTGTGCTCATGGACCTCCACATGCCGGGCCTGGACGGGTGCGTGCTCGTGTGCTCATGGACCTCCACATGCCGGGCCTGGACGGGTGCGTGCTCGTGTGCTCATGGACCTCCACATGCCGGGCCTGGACGGGTGCGTGCTCATGTGCTCATGGACCTCCACATGCCGGGCCTGGACGGGTGCGTGCTCGTGTGCTCATGGACCTCCACATGCCGGGCCTGGACGAGTGCGTGCTCGTGTGCTCATGGACCTCCACATGCCGGGCCTGGACGGGTGCGTGCTCGTGTGCTCATGGACCTCCGCATGCCTGCCCTCGATGGGAGCGTGCGTTCATAACTGCCTCTGTGCATCTGTGCCTGTGTGCCTGTCTGCCCTTCGGCCTGTGTTCCTGTGTGCCTGTCTGCCCGCCTGCCTGTCTGCCTGTGTGCTTGTCGCCGGCCATCTCGCTTTCCTCTTCACCCATTCACACACAACTCTTTCGCCCACCTCCCCCATTCCTCCCTCCTTGGCATGCTGCACGTATGTCACGCACCAAGCAGGTACGAGACGGTCACTCGGCTGCGTCGTCTGGAGCGGGAGTCGTGGGGCGGGGAGGCAGGGGGTGAGCGGTGTGTGAGGGTGGTGGCCATGTCAGCAGACGTGGACAGCACTGTTGCAGCACGAGCTGCTCTGGTGGGCATGGATGGGGCCGTGCAGAAACCACTCAATGAGAACCAACTCTTGGCTGTCATGAGAACACTTCAAATGTAATGTAATGCAATGCAACTCTCCCTAAATGAGCTAATCATGAACATACAAGATATCAACCACTAAAATCCCCTAGATGCACCACCACGACCATCTATGGTTACGTTGAGGGGTCATTTATTACCGGTATGCGGAACAACTTGATAAAGACAATACGGTAACCAGATGTGATCATAATCAACATACAACCTTCAACTTTGGTCCGCAGCGGACCAGGGGCTCCGCGGACCCTACCTAGCAGGTCGGCAAATTCTTGTACATCCCCGTGCGTGCTTCCGTTCGCGCCAAACTTGTTTCCCCCCGAAACCCCCAATCCCAGAGGCGTCACGACCACGGCTTGTTTCTTCACATCCACGCCATTCAGAAGTCCAAATGTCGATATGTTATGAGGGAGAGAAGTTCGATTACCAGAATCAAGTAAGCAATCTATTTTGGCGATGGCTGCAAGTACAAATGCTATCTGTTAACACGACCGATGACGGCTTCTATCTGCTATCTGTTTCGTTTCGATCACTACTAGGAGTTTTATTTCTCTTTGCCTTTTTCTTTGTTTCATTTTTCTTTACTTCCCCCTTTGTTTATATCATTTGCTTGGAGGTGTGGCGCAAGCCTTGCTAACTCGGCTTTCCTGTACTTTGATCTGTTCCTTGTTGAAAAGCTCGGTCTCAGTCGCTTGGCCCGAACTCACTAGTCCATAACTCGTTTAAGCGCTCTCCTCGAGCTTTTTTTGCGCACTCGCTCTTGGACATTGTAGCGTCGAATCTATTCCCGTTCCGTCCCCCACCAAAACACCTCCTCAATCTTTACCGCAATGGAGGAATCACGACTTGGCTTTTCTCTTTTCCAGGCAGACTCTGCCCAATCCCCGCTTTACACGTTGCGCATGCCATACTTTACCAGTACCAGCCCGCGTAAGACTTCTATGACGACGTCTGCTGACATGGAGTCCACGTCATACGTGTCCCTCGATTTATCCGTTCCTTCCTGGTGGATTCCGGTCGCCCATGAAATTGCTTTCGCCGGTGACGCAGCAGAGTTAACGGAAGTCAAGGCGACGGAGGCACGGGCAGCTAAAAACGACAGCGATTGCGACGAATGCTTTCTAGTGCTTGGCGGGTCTGTTGTTGACGGGGATAGGCGACAGGCCGTGCCGGTTACTCGCCTTGAATTGCTCAACGAGCGCTTGCAGACGATCGAACGGCGCGCGGGCGCGCTAGATGAGCTCCTGGTGGCGATCCGACGGCTGGCGGAGAATCTAAAAGCGTCGCGAGGGTCAGGAGGCTCGGAGAAGGGTGGAGAGGACAAGAAGAAGGAGGATAACGGTGGTGGTGGAAAAGGGAGAAGAAGCGGGAGTGCGGGAGAAGATGATTGTGAAGGGAATGGGGAGGATCTGGAAATGGAAGTTGACAGTGACGGAGGATTTGATGGTGCTGATGATAATGATGATGATGATTACAGTTATGGGGATTCTGGAGACGAGGATGCGATGGAGGAAGATGAAGAGGATGGCGATGACGACGACACCTTGTACGGATACGACGCTTTTCTGGAGGAAGATGACGGTATTACAGGCGCCAAGGAGGACGGCGAGGAGGGCTCGGATTGGGAATGGGGAGTGGGGCGATTCCACAGCGTCTCATCAGCTCCTTCATCAAGTGGAGATTCCGCCACTGGCGCGGATGGTCTGTCCTTGATAGAAGCAGAGGCGTTACAAGCACAGGCTGCGTGCCACGCCGCTTTTTCTGCCGTGCGCAGAGGGAAGAAGAGCCGGCCGAGTCCCAGAGGGGACCAGGACGAGCCATGGCAGCAAGGTGCGGGAGAGGCGGAGGAGCAGGAGGAGGCGGAGCGCGTGTTGCGGTGGTGCTCGGTGCGTAGCATGGGCAAGCGCGGCTTTGTGCGGTGCCAGATGGAGGTGGGCGGTGTGGTCAGCAACGTCAGAGCGCTCGCAGCTCTAGGCCTCTCCACCACCTCTCCCATTGTGATTACCCTGTACTTCACCGACCATGCCTGGCGCCTCCGCGCCTCGCACCCACACCAGCAGCAGCAGCACCACCACGCGCAGCACCATCACCAGCGGCGGCAGCAGAGTGGTGGGGAAGAGGCGGCGTCCTTTCCAGAGCCTTCCCGGGTGGTGGTGTCGCAGCCAGCGGCAGAGGCGGGGGAAGGAGGAGAGCCGGGCAGCAGCAAGGGGGAGCAGAGGAGGCAGCGGCGGCAGGTTCTGATGCGAGTTCTTCTGGAGCAGTGCGTGAGGCACACAAGGAGCATCAGCAAGGAGTCCCTTGTCACTCCCGTTTCCGCCGCCGCGGATGCTGCAGACGCTGCCATTGCTAGCAACAACAACGACAGTGGCAAGGGTGGCAGCGCGGGGAACACCGGTGCTTTATCTGGGATGAGCGAGACTGCAATGCGTGCCACGTTGAAAAGGCTGGGCGGTTCGGATCCAGCGAAGACGGAAGCAGCAGCATCCGGCGCTTCACACTCTTCTGCGTCCACACGGGTGGGCGAGGGGTGGAGTGTGCAGCAGGCATTGGAGGCACGGGTGCTGCAAGTGGTGGAGCAGGCAGACGAGCGCGTGGGGCAGGAGGCAGCATGCCGAGTGGGTGTGGACTCTCTTGTTCCTGCCGCTGTCACCGCCTTCTTTAAAGCCCGCCACTCGCAAGCAGCGGGGGAAACGGGAGCAGAAGCGCGGGGTAAGAAGGGAGGTCTAGGGAACGCGTTTGTGGGGCTGCTGGTGCACGTGGCGAGGCAGCTGCAGGCGGTGTGTGAGAGGTGCGTGATCTGCGGGCAAGCGCTGGCGCTCAAGACGCAGCGTGTGCGGCCATGCACGGACGACTTCTGCCTATACCGCTTTGAAGAGCTGGGTCTGGCGTCTGACATTCTCTCTGAGCTGCGATCCCTCCCCCTCGCCGTGCATCTGGACGTTTCGCTTGCTCTCGCGGCCGCCCAGGCCAGCAATCGGGATGTTTTTGAACCCTTCCCGTCGTTCCTGCTCTGCTCCGCCCAGCAACTCCGCGGCCGCTCCGGCTGGTTCTCCTCCCAACCCTCTGCTACTGCTACTGCCACTGCCACTGCCACCGCAACCACAGCCACTGTTGTTGCTCTTGCTGCTGCCGCCAGTGCTGGTGGGGGCGGGGTGGGGGGAGGGGGCGTAGGCATTGGGGGGCATACAAGGGGAGCGGCCATGGGAGAGGAGGGGGGGGAGAGGGGCGGAGTGCAGAACAAGCGGCTGTCCGTGCTGGCCAGCGTTTTGCAGACTCTTCCTCCTCTGGCTGCCTTGCAGCAGTGCGAGTCGGAGTGGGAGCTTAAGGTGCTCCTCGCGGCCTGCTGGATCATTCGCTCTGCTGCGGTTCGCAAGGCCTTAGAGGCAGAGGAGGCTGAGAAGGCTAAGGTTGAAAAGGAGGCGGAAGAGGAGGGTGCAAGGGTGAAAGCTGACAGTGTGGCAGCAGGATTGGCAGGGGCAGGGGCAGCTGGCGAGGGAGAGGGGGAAACTGGTGCGTCGGAAGCAGGAGCGGGAGCAGGAGCGGTGGGGCGAGGAGAAAAAGCTGCAGCAGTAGTGCCCGCAGCGGGGAAGGCAGCAGCAGCCGAGCCAGCAGCAGGAAAGGCAGCAGCGAAGGGCGGAGATGGTGGGATGAGTGGGGAGCAGCGGGTGCTGGCGGACGTGCTGCTGCCATACCGTGTGCTGCGATTCGTGGTGAGCACCAGCCGTCTCACTCTGCTCAAACTGGACGGCACTCCAGCCACCACCAACCAACCCCCACAGCAGCAGCAGCAGCAGCAGCAGCGCTCACAGGGCGCCAAGCGCCAGAGCAAGCAGAAGCAGCAGCAGGAGCAGCAGCATTCCGAGAGCATTCCGTCGAGTTTGGACGAGCGCCCATCTCCTGCGACTTGGGGCGAAGGAGGCGAGTGGGCGTGTGCAGGGCTACCCCTCTCCGCGTGCCACCAGCTCGCAGTCTTTGCTGACGGTTGCCCCAAGCAGGCCCAGTTCGAGCGCCTCCGCCAATCCAAGGGCTCCTTCTTTGCCTTCCACGGCAGTTCCACCTTCAACTGGTTCTCCATTCTCAGGAACGGGCTTCGCAGCATGAGCAACACAGGGTATATGTCCACTGGGGCTGCGTATGGTTCTGGAATCTACCTCTCCCCGCATTTCGAAACCTCGTATGGATATTCTGGGCGTGGGTATGCGGAGGGGAATGGGGGGGTTTGCTGTGTGGCGATTTGCGAGGTGGTGCATTCGCCTGCTGCTAGGGGTCGGCCATACGAGAGCATTGCGCCAGGACATGGGAAGACGATGGAGGAAAGAATGTATGATGAGGAAACGTTGGTGGATGAGGGGAATGGGGTTGGGAAGGACAGTCCAGCGGAGGGAGATACAGGGATGAATATGGATGTTACTGCTGGTGCTGGCGGTGCTGCTGCTGCTTCGTCTGTTGGTGGTGCTGGTTCTGCTACTGCTGCTGCTCCTTCTACTGCTGCTGCTGCTGCTGCTGGTTACCCTAGTCGTCGCAGTACAAACCCCGGAGGTAGAACTGCGGGTCAGGAGCTGCAGCGTGGGAGTGGAATAGTGGTGGTGGATCCAGGGTATGAAGAGCATGTGTGCATACGTTTCCTCCTGCTACTCCCCCCAGGTTTCAACCCTGCTCAGCATGTTAAGCATGTGACAGCAGGCACGACAGGAACAGGCTCAGCAGCAGGAGGAGCAGGTGGTACTGCTGCTGGTCGCTGGGGGGGTTATGTGAGGGGAAGTGACGGAGAAAGTCCGATGACTATTACAGGGGGGCGGATGCTGCTGGGGGTGGATCTTAGGCAGGCGCACGCTCGTGCGTTTGCGGCATGGCAAACAAGGCGGAGAGATGCGTTTGAGAGGAGGCAGAGGGATCGGCTGATGGCTCTGGCGGATGAACGGCCGGAGGAGGACGAGATGAGGGAGAGGAAGTGGGAAAAGGAGAGGGAGAGTGAGAGGGAGAGGGAGAGGGAGAGGGAGAGGGAGAGGGAGATGGGGAGGGAGAGGGAGAGGAAGGCGCAGGAGCAGGTGGGCAAGCGGGGTACAGGAAGAGCACCGGACACGAAGAATACGACTCCTGGAGCAACGAACGCGATTCAGAAGGAGTATCGAAACATGATGAGGCTCCAGGTGGGTGGGCGAGTTTGCTTCTAGGTGGTTCTTGTGAGGAAAGGATTGTATCTGAGGAGGTGTGGTAGGAATTTCACGGCTATCCTTCCTTCTTTGCGTGATAGCACACCCACAGAAGAAGGGTCGCTGACGTGTGTGTCTTTGTTCCCTATGTGGTGCTCGAGCCACAAAATCACACATTGCAGCCACACCCTGTATGGCTCACCTTTGGAATCACTATTGTAGCTCGCCTCCTCGACACACCACTCTCCAACCCCATCCCCTTTTCCCCCTTCCCATCCCCCTGGACATAGATCAAGGCGCCTCAGCTCTCTCATGCACTCATTTCCTTTTGGCCTTCCCGACACGGAACAGAACTTCATGCTCAACCCCTTTCATATCTCTCTCTCTCTCTCTCTCTCTCTCTCTCTCTCTCTCTCTCTCTCTCTCTCTCTCTCTCTCTCTCTACACCCCCTTTCCCCTCCCCATCCATCCCCCCACAGTCTCGAGGCCACAGCTCCCTGCCCACGGGTTCCTTCACGCTCTCTCTTCCCAACGACGAAGACCTCTATGTGTGGCGCGTGCGCCTCTCCCCCCTCGTCTTCAAGGACACGCCCTTCCACTCGGAACTAGCTCAGATTCGTGTTAGCACCACCGCCACTGATGGAGTTGGCGCTGCTGGTGCTGGTGGCATTGCTGGTGCTAGGGGCAGCAACGAGCATGGGGTGCAGGGGAGTGACGTAGATACAAGTTTTTCAGGAACAGGAGAGGGAGCAGGAGCAGCAGCAGTGGCATCACCAGCACAGGAGGCAGGGGTGGAACTGGAGATTCGGTTTCCAGGTGGGTTTCCTTTCGATCCTCCGTTTGTGCGAGTGGTCTCTCCGCGCTTTGCCTTCCACACCGGTCACGTCACCGTGGGAGGTTCTATCTGCATGGAGCTGCTAACCCAGTCTGGCTGGTCTCCTGCCTACTCTCTGGAGTCTCTTCTTGTGCAACTGATTGCAAACATGGCTGCAGGAGGAGCGAGGGTGGATCCACGATATGTGCGTGCAGGCAGGTGTGGGTGCAGGGATGGTCCCCATGCAGGCGGGTGCTACTCTCTTGCTGAGGCTAAGGATGCGTTTGTTCGAGTGGCTGGCCAGCATGGTTGGAAGGTGTGAGTGGTGGAGGAGAAGGTGGAAGGGGTGGGGAGGGGAGAGGCTATGAGAGGCTGATTCAATGGTGGAATGCCTTGTCTGCGCTGGCATGGCAGCAAGGCTTTGGTAGACACGATGGTGTAGATTAGGATTGAACATGCGTGCTTCGTATCATTGTTGCTGGATAGTTTCGTATAGTCAAACTTTTGAAATGAGGGGGTTCTTAGGGCATGTTCCCACAGCCCCTTATTAGGGCTTTCTCATGTCAAATTCGCAAATTTGTTGTTTGCACGTTATACAACACCTCGTCAAACTACTACCGAACCGAGAACACGCATGAATGAAATCTATCGTACGGCATCGCTCAGCAGTGTGGCCGCAACTATGCACGGCCAGTGTACACACATGAACCAAGGCCCAAAATATCAGGGTAAAAATACCCCTTTTGCCCTTTCTGTGGGCCGTTTTTTTCAAATATCGTTTCGAGCTTCTGGAACATGGTGATTTCTTTGTTTCGCTAATATATTTTTTTGTGCATCTCTCTCCCTCCCTCCCCTCCCCTCCAGAGTGTGAGACAGGCCCTCAGATGTCAGCGAAAAAAGGCTGATTTAGGGTCTGGACGCTGATTTCACAGACATGTGGGCGATGTGCTGGCTGAAAGTTCAGTTTTTTTTTTAATGTGTTGGCTGATTGTTCAGGTTTTTTTTTAATGTTTTGGCTGATTATCCAGCGTTTTTTTACAAGTGTTCGCTGATTTATCAGACTTGTAACGAGAGTGTAGGCTGAATTCACGCTATTACAGATTCGTGCAGGAGCCGTGAGTTTCGGCTGTCCAGGTTCATCGACCGTCAATCACGCAAAATTTGCCATGTACAGCGCCGACGCGGGGGGAAAACGAATTTCCGACTCGTCGTTTGCTTCGTTGTCACCGACAGAATGCTTAAATAGATGTGATTCGTTGGTAAACCAATCACATCCCTTATGCGCCAATCACCCGCCACCAGTGCAGCACAGGAACGCACCGCACGCACTCACGACAAGGACACCCACCTCACCCCATCTCACCCACCCCGAACCTGCATCTAAGTGCGTGCATGGTGCCCCCTCGTCGCGCCGCGTAGCTGATGGGTGGTGAGAATGAGAGGGCCTTCTTTTATGGCTCTCTCTTGATGACCCCACCGTACCCACCCCCTAGGCGAGCTGCACTGTCAATCCACGCCTCTCGCCTTGGTTTTCTCAAACCCTAGCTAGCAACGTTGGAGCTCGGCACGCTCTCCCCTTTCAGCCATGGCCGGCCTTGCAGAAGGCGTAGGTTGCGATGATGATGCAGGCAGCGATGATGAATTAGACGGCCTAGAGGAAGCCAGGACGGGGCTTGATATGCTCCTGCGCTCGCTTGCCCCTGGTGTCCTCGCTCCCAGGCTTCCTACTGCAAAGCCAGCACTAGTCGAGAGGGTGCACCGCGACCACCCACCGGTTTCTTCAAGCTCGGATTCCATCCGGGGTGAGCCTGCTGCGCCGGCTGCCGTCTCCGACACGGTGGTTCTCGACTCGCCAACAACAAAGTCCACTGGCCCGCGCAACTTCAAGCTCAAGCAGTCGACGCTGAGCTGGGCAAAACCTTCTTCGAGCACCGCCGTCGAGCAACCTGTCGCGAACAACACAGCCCCTCTTCCATCCTTGGTCATAGACATTTCAGAGGCCATCGAGGCAGTCTATGCAGACGCTCTTTTGAAGTACAAAACCAAGTGGTCTGAGAGGTTCCCGTGGTTTGTGCTAACCAAATCTAAATCTGGTTTCCCTGCTTTTAAGTGCAGTGTCTGCACCAAGCATGCCGGAGTCAGGGGGCGATGTGGCCGGACAGGGCGAGGGGCGACCGACGTGCAGACGCAGGCGTTTCGCAAGCACGCCGGCACGACGAAACACAGGCTGGCGATGGAGAAGCAAGAGGCTCTGCTGAACGCGGCCTCAAAGCAGCCACGGATCGACCAACATCGAGCCGCCATCGATGCTGAGAAGAACCGCGTCGTGGCGTTGCTCGACTCCATGCTGTTCGTCAGTTCCTGCGATGCGCCAATGGGAACATGGGTGAAGCTGGTGCAGTACCTCGCGCGTAAGGGTGTCCAGGGCTACCCTAAGAAGAAATATGGCACCTACTACACAACGTGAGTAGTAGCCACATTTGTATTGCGTTGATGTTTTGATGTTCAACCCTAAACCCTCTTCTAATCTCTTGTCTTTGGTTTCCCTGCGTGTAGGTACGGCTTCGGTGAGCTCACGCAGGCCCTTGCTACCTGGCTACAGACAACTCAGCTGGAGCACATCCTGAGAAGCCCTTTCATCGGCATCTGCATCGATGAAAGCACGGATCGACTCCGGGGGAAGCACATGATCTTGTATGCCTCGTTCATCCGTGACAACGTGCTCGTGACCGAGTTCATGCAGCTGATCACGGTGGAAAAGGCGGACGCTTCTTCACTTCTGAGCATCCTGCTTTCCCACTTGCAGTCCGTCGGTATCGATCTACAGAGAATTTCTGGCATTAGCACCGACGGCGCAAGAGTGATGATGGGGTCTAAGGCCGGCCTGGTTGTCCGCCTGCGACAGAAGATTCCGCACCTTGTCTCCGTTCACTGCATCGCTCACAGGTAAGTGAGCTCTGCTGCTACGTTTCCAGCCCGTTACGCCATGTGGTTCGAGCTCGTGTTTAACGTCTTGAGTTTGATGTTGTACTTGCAGGGAGGCACTTGCAGCGAAGGATGCAGCAGAGGAGCTCCCCGTCTTCGACATGGTCGACGATCTCATCCGGGCAGTGGCGGATTTGCTTGGTCGGTCGGGACCGCGCCACGCACGGTTCATGGACCTGCAGGAAGTCATCACCGAAACGAGCCTTGAAGTGCAAGGCATCCATTCCGTTCGGTGGTTGTCAAGGGGGGATGCCGTTCGTCGCCTTGTCGCTGTTTTGCCGGCAGTGATTGTGCTGCTGAAGGAGCTTAACAGCAAGATGTACAAACTGGCAAGCTCCTACCGTTTTCACTTATTCCTTTACTTCCTGGCTGATGTGCTTGAGCAGCTCAACATTTTGAACAAGACCTTCCAGCAGAAACAGGTGAGGTGGTGCGAATATAGCTACGCATGTCCCCACATTAACCCTTTTAACTGTGTCACTGTGTGCCTCTGTCTGTCCAGCTCGATCTGGTGTCTTTGCATGCGCAGATCAAGCGGACAACGCGTCACATCGAGAGCCGCTACGTGGACTGCGGCGATGACTTCGGCGGCGGCATGAGCCAGTGGCTGTCACCTTTCCTGCTGCGCCATGGCCCGGGGTGTAGCCGCGAAGTGAAGGTGGAAGGTGTCGACAGTGACGGCCGACCATCTTCTATCACGTTCACCCTTCACGACGAGCCCGTGGACTCGTACAGCGGCCCGGAGGACCACGACGGGTGCATCCAGTTGTGCACCGAGTTCGCAGAGAGGATCGTGGCGAACCTGGAGAGAAGGCTCGGTGATCTCGACTCCCTCTCTGGAGTCCGCCTGTTCACACCAGATGCATGGCCACAAAGCAAGTCTGAGCGGAACGCTCGTTGCCTGGAGTGGCTTCAGTCGCTGGTGACGATGTTCAAGGCTCAAAACCGTGAGGACATCTTGCCAGGTCTGTTGTGGCGCCTTTGTGAACCTTTGATATCGTATCCATGCTTGAAAATCCTTTGTGGTGCACCTGTTTGCTCATGTCATGTGCCTCATCTTAACCCTCCCTCCCTCCCACCAGGCATCAACAAGAGGCAGGCAGGCAAGGAGCTTCGCCTCTTCTGTTCAGTCCTTGCACGTGCCCCCAAGGAAGAGAGGGGCTTCCACAGCGGACTATCGGCGATCCTCAAGACGCCAGACTGGCGGGAGAGCTACCCCAATCTGGTGCAGCTCTGGGTGGCGGTGGCTGTGATTCCCCTCAGCACTGTGGAGTGCGAAAGGGGATTCACTCGGCAAAACGTGATCAAGACATGGCGGAGAGGGGGGATCAAGGACGCGAGGCTGGGGGACCTCATGTGTCTGTCCCTCATGCAGTACAAGCCCAACTACGATGAGGTAGTTGAGATCTGGCGGAGTTACAGAAAGCGCAAGCCTTTCAGCAATGCTCCCATTCGCACCCCAATCCCAGGCGAGAACAAGAAGGGCAAGCACGAGGAGGAGCCAGTAGATGTAGATGATGAGGAGGAGCCAGTAGATGTAGATGATGAGGAGGAGCCAGTAGGAGATGCAGGAGGTAGTTCTAGTGATGAAGATGAAATGAGCAGCTAGCTAATGTCATGTATGTGGTGTAGTGTTTCCCTGTTATGCCTGCTAAATTTAATGAAAAAAGTGCTCAACATGGATCAGCCAGAGTGTATTAAGTGAGGCTGATTAGTCAGCGTTTTTTTTTTATACTTGTCTGAACTTTCAGTTTTTTTTTTACAACCAACTCTGATTGATCAGCTTAACGTTGGCTGCTAAGGCTGACGTATCAGCCAAGCCAAAAACGAATCTGAGGCCCTGGTGTGAGACAAAGGTCAGAAACTTCTGGAAGTTCGTGTGACACACCCGCCGACAGTACAACACAACATCGGCAAGCAATGGATTATAAATGCGGACATGTACATCAACAGTACATCAATAATACCACCGTGGCTCGAGATGCCAGCTGAACGTACCGTCGAGGAGGTGGGGTTCCGCTCCGTGCCCATCCGCAGCGGTGGCTATAAAAAAGAACAGGTGACGGCCATGCTCGCCTGCACCGCAAGCAGCGAGAAGCTCAAGCCTTGGGTCTTTTTCAAGCGCAAAACTGTTCCCAAGGGGAATTTCCCCTCAGATAAGCTAAGCATCATGTGTGGCGGTATCTGTGTTTATTTTAAGGCCTTGCGATTAATTGTGTACTGGGTCTTGATGTGCAAATGTGGTGCTCGCCGCTCATCTCAACGGTTGGAAGGACGCAGACGGCGTAATCGCGTGGCTCGACGGGACGGTGAAGCCGTACGTCAATCGGAGATTCTGAGTCCGCAGCAGGAAGGCAATGCTGATTCTTGATGTCAGAATGTTATTATCTAGCCTGTAGTGGGGTGCTCTATAGCGAGTACAACCCTGTTAGGGTTTGCTATATGTATCCCAACTGCTGCTAGTTAAACTCCTCCTTTGCTTATTCTCTCTTGCCTAGCTAGGGCTTACCTAGCTATGGCTCCTCACTATGCCTACTATCTTAACATGGAATCAGAGCGGTTACGCTCTTGGCCTGTGGGCCCGCCTACTGCTTCCGCTGCTACTCGATCTGTCGTACGCCCCGTGGCGTGCGACGCTACGGCGCGCGGCGAGTTGCACTCTGGCGCGCGCCCCGGGGCGATTTGCCCTTTTCTTTCCTGACGCGCCGCCCCCGCTGTTCCGTCGCGGCGCCCTGGGGAGCCCGCGCGGCCCCCGCCTTGCTCGTCGCGGCGCCCTGGGGAGCACGCGCGGCCCCCGCCCAGCTCGTCGCGGCGCCCTGGGGAGCACGCGCGGCCCCCGCTCTGCTCGTCGCGGCGCCCTGGGGAGCACGCGCGGCCCCCGCTCTGCTCGTCGCGACGCCCTGGGGAGCCCGCGCGGCCCCCGCTCTGCTCGTCGCGGCGCCCTGGGGAGCCCGCGCGGCCCCCCGCCCTTTCGTCGCGGCGCCCTGGGGAGCCGCGCGCGCCCCCTGCCCGTCCGTCGCGGCGCCCTGGGGAGCCGCCCCCCCCCCCCCCCCCCCCCCCCCCCCCTCCCCCCTAGCCGTCCCCCGCGCTCCTGCCCCGTCCCACCCGTTTTAGGGTTTGGGGGTGAGGAGTGTGGGGGTGGCAGTTGTGGGGGTGTCGGTTGTGTGCGCCGTCCCCTACTCCTCCTCCTCCTTCGTCTCCCACTGCTGCAGCTGTCGCTGAGGGGGGTGGATGTGTGGGAGCCTAGGGTTTAGGGTTTAAGGGGGGTGCCGTGGGAGTGGAGCTAGGGTTTGAGCAGGGGGTGTGTGTCGAGGGTGTGGGGCAGTTGGAGGAGGTTGTGTGAAGGTAGCTGTCGTGTCGCCTGCAGCGCCTGTAGTCCGTCGCCCTTGCTTCGGTAGCCAGTGAGCCTGTTGCACCAGTCGCCAGTGGGTCCGTTGCTCCTGCCGCTCGTCTATAGCCGCGGAGCCAGTTACTCCAGTAGTCCGTCGCCCTTGCTTCGGTAGCCACTGAGTCAGCCGCTCCTGTGCCCGTGCCTCTGCAGCTTCAGTCGTTGCCTCCCATCTTCTCTCCTTCCACAGTTCCTCCTCCTCCTCACTTGCCCTCTGTGATAGCCTCTAGCTTTGCTTGCAATTGTGCACCTGCTCTATGACTGTGTGCTCTGCTGATTACACCCCACTTTGGCTATGGGGGTGTGTCAGAATGTTATTATCTAGCCTGTAGTGGGGTGCTCTATAGCGAGTACAACCCTGTTAGGGTTTGCTATATGTATCCCAACTGCTGCTAGTGAAACTCCTCCTTTGCTTATTCTCTCTTGCCTAGCTAGGGCTTACCTAGCTATGGCTCCTCACTATGCCTACTATCTTAACACTTGACTCTTACCGCGGGCACTTGACTAACAAGGTGAAAGCGAAATTCGGCGAGCTGAACATCGTACCCGCCGTCATTCCTGCTGGATGAACCTCCGAGATCCAGCCCCTTGACGTCTCAATAAACCACTCATTCAAAGTATCAGTCCGACAGTTGTACCAGGAGTGGTTCAAGAACGAGGGGGTCGACTGTCTGACCGAAAGAGGTGAGCACTAAACACCCCGCTTAGTTATGTTTGCTTACGGTAGTTCTCACCCTGTTCTGACTGCCGTTGTTGTATTATTCATGGCAGGCAACATCCGCAAGCCACCTCCAGAGCTGGCACTCAAGTGGATTTCAAAGGCCTGGAAGGCGGTGCCCAAGGAGTTAATCGAGCGCGCGTTTCTTACCTGTGGCATGAGCAACACACTTGATGGGTCCCAGGACAACCTCTGCATGCAGCACCGCCGGGCGTCGTCAAGGGTGAAGTTGAGCTTGACGACGAGATTGCAGCAGACGGATTCTGTTGCAACAATGTAGAGGAGCCAGAGTCGGACTGTGAGGCCGACCAAGATGGTCCCGCCACTGTTGGTGGAGATGCATAGGATATGTAGGTAGAATAGTATTTGAAAGAATGTCTATGAATGTTTTAGGTAAGCTAGTATAACTTTGTAGTGTGAACGCGTGTAAAATAACATAATAATAGTAGAGTAAAAAGAGGGTGGCGCTTATAATATGTAATGTTACAAGGGGGCGCTTATTGTCAGAATATTATGCTCTAGCCTGTAGTGGGGTGCTCTATAGCGAGTACAACCCTTCTAGGGTTTGCTATTTGTATCCTCATTCTTGCTAGTGCAACCTCCTCTTTTGCCTAAACTTCTCTTGCCTAGCTAGGACTTACCTAGCTATGGCGCCTTCTTCTACTGCTTATCTTCACATGGTATTAGAGCGATATGCTCCTGGCCTGTGGGCCCCACCTCACTGCTTCCGCTGCTACTGCTACTCCCTGTCCGCCGCGCGCCCCGTGGTGCGCGGCGTCGAAATTAGGGTTTTTTCAGCCCGCCGTGCGCCCCGAGGCGCGCGGCGGTTTTCTGCCCGCCGTGCGCCCCGAGGCGCGCGGCGGTTTTCTGCCCGCCGTGCGCCCCGAGGCGCGCGACGGGTTTCTGCCCCGTCACTCGGCGCGTCGCCCCCAGGAGGCGCTACGACGGGCGACGGGGACCCGCGCGTCGCCCCCCGTCGCCCGTCGTGGCCTGCGCGCGGCCCGTACAGCCGGCGCGCGCGGCCCGTACGGGCTGCGCCAGGCCCGCGCGCGGCCCGTACGGGCTGCGCCAGGCCCGCGCGCGGCCCGTACGGACTGCGCCAGGCCCGCGCGCGGCTCGGGCCGCCTGCGCGCGGTTCGGGAGGCTGTGCCAGGCCCGTGGGCAGCCCTTTCCTAGCTGCCCCTGCCCTCCCCGCTGTCCCCCGTGCTTCTACTGGCGCCCCACCCCTCCTACAGCCCGTTCTCCTGAATTAGGGTTTGGGGGTGAGGGGTATGGGGGTGAAGCTACTGTGTGCCGTTCCCTGCTCCTCCTCCTCCTCCGTCTCCCTGTGCTGCAGCTGCCGCTGAGGGGGGGTGGACTTGTTGGAGCCGTTGGAGTGGTACTAAGGGGGGGTGAAGGGGGAGTGGAGCTAGCGGTGTAGCAGCGGGTGTGTGTCAGGGGGAGTGGGATAGTTTGGGGAGGTTGAAGGGGGTGGCCGCCGTGAAGCCAGCAGCTCCAGTCGCCCGTGAGACCGTTGCGCCAGTCGCCCGTGAGCCCGTTGCGACAGTCGCCCGTGAGCCCGTTGCTCCAGTCGCCCGTGAGTCCGTTGCTCGTCTGCCGCTACTTTTAGCCGCGGAGCCAGTTACTCCAGTAGCCCGTGTGCCAGTTGCTCCAGTTGCCAGTGTGCCAGTTGCTCCAGTTGCCCGTGTGCCAGTTGCTCCAGTTGCGCCGTGTGCCAGCAGCTTCAGCTGCCGCCCACTACCTCCTCTCCTCTCATAGTCTCTTTCCTCCTCCTCACTTGCCCGTTGTGACTACCACTAGCTTTGCTCATAATTGTGAACTTTAAACTATTGCTTCTTGAACTTGTGCTCAGAATGTGTGGTGACATTGTGATCCACCCTGAGCTTGTACTGCTTTGCTTGCTCTGCTGATTACACCCCACTTTGGCTATGGGGGTGTGTCAGAATATTATGCTCTAGCCTGTAGTGGGGTGCTCTATAGCGAGTACAACCCTTCTAGGGTTTGCTATTTGTATCCTCATTCTTGCTAGTGCAACCTCCTCTTTTGCCTAAACTTCTCTTGCCTAGCTAGGACTTACCTAGCTATGGCGCCTTCTTCTACTGCTTATCTTCACACTTATAGTCCGTAAGCTTCCAAGGGTGCGCTTGTATTCAAGAACAGGATATACCGTCATCACCCGGATACACCCCCAGGCCTATGTTACACCTATGGGGCTATAATCGGACTAGTGGGCTTATAGCCGGTTGCCAAATATAAGCCCACCCCAAATACTCTCAATCTTCATATAAGCGCACCTATTGAAGTACAGTGTTCTTTATAGTGAAATCGCCACTAACGTACCTAAAGCAATCGCCACTGACGTGCCTGGCAAAATCCCCCCCTGGCTCGCTTGGCAAAATTGTCACAGGAGCGCACGTAAGACCAAATTGTCAACAATTCAGCATGTGCTGATAGGGATTATCGCCAGTTATCAGAAACTAACGAGCAGGAATGGATGAACTAG